GGGGGAGGTGGGGGGCTTGTGTAGAGCCCCCATGCAATGTGGGGCAGTGGGGGGCAGCAGGGATCACCCCCTGCCTGGCAGCCCCTGCTGAGTCTGTGCTCTTTTTTTTAACAAGAACCGGAAGTTGGGGCCAGTGGGGCAGCCATTGCGGGGCTGGGAGAGCGGGTGGGGATGGGCCCGGTCTGGCTCATTTGGAGTTTCAGCAGCAGCTGAATCTCCAAATTATATTTGGCCAAATGGAATTGGGACAGTGATATGAATTGCCAAATCGAATCGCTGTCCCCCGAATCAGCCGAATCCAACGCAAATACTAGCTGCTTCACACAGGCCTATTGGTTATACCATTCATTTCCAGGCATTTGTGCAGAGGCCATTGTGTTTTGCACTTCTTGTTTCTGGTTCATCGGCTGACAAAAGAATGAGTGCAATCTAATCAAGTTCTATAAATAATGGAACATAACCCCAATTATAAATAAATAGATTGTGGTAACTGATATAAGATATATTGTTCAAATAGCAAACCTGCCATTATAGCAAGCTTGGGTGGAAATTGCCCTTACAGTCCATTTGATCGTCTCAGAATGACACACAGATGATAGTGAGACAGTGCATTTTCATGAGCATTAGTCTCTTCTATTGGTGTTATTCTCCAGTTGGTTGTTATGTAGTTCCTAGTGGAGCTTTATTCTGCCGTTTTGTGCTGAGGCACATTTCTCTGTCTACAGAGGCAGCCTGGCTGTTTGGGCACACATATATTTAGCAGCACCTGCTGTGAGCATGTTGTTTTATGTTTAAAAACCAAAATATTCCTTTGTGAAGAAGAGGAATTAAATGGAAATGGCATAAATATGGCGCCATTACTGCTGTGATTTATTTCTTGTTCAAAGAGGAGATTTACTGGCAAACAGATAATAGACTGCTTTCTTCCGGCTAATTTTGATGGTGTTCATAAATGTTTGGCTGAAGTTATATACGCTTTGTGTGCTGACTAAGATTATGACCTGTTATCAGTTTTATGTAGCACCATAAAGTCTTTCTGTTAACCAAACACGCTGTGTGAAGCTGCCAGTACCGTTTGTTTTGTAAAGCTCCAAAATACGGTCAGCCAGAGTGGCTACTTCAAGTAGAAATAAAAAGGGGACTGGATGACTGAGTCAAGGTGTCAGGCTAGGCAGGGTGACAATAAACAGAATAGGTTTTATTTTCCTTTCTAGAGAAAAAGGGTACCCCCTTCCTCCCACCTCCAAATCTCCCCACAATAGACCACCACAAATCACTGACAACCAAAGTCATAAGAGACCTTCGTTCAAGTTTCTGCAGTGGGTTCAGTTCACCCCAGGAGTCCTAACACCAGTGAGATACCTATGGAGTTATACCAGGGGAGACTGTGAAGGAATGCATGGATGAAATAGTTTGGAGGCAGCATTTACAGCTGACACCAATGTTTTGCCATCTGCGTACTCGGTGTTTACAGTACTGACTGCGGCAGAATTGCAAAGTATTAAGATTGAAGAGACGCTTGGTAATGTTCTCTGTCGTCCAGTTTGTCCAGGAGTATGTGTCTTGGGGCTGATTAGCAGCTTTACCTGAACAAGTTAAGTCACCCTAGATTCTAATTTTATCTCCTAATCTTTATGCAGGCAGTTATAAATGGCACTTTGCAGTCTTGGAAGTACTCTTGCCCTGAAGCTGACAGTAGCCCTCCAACAAATAATAATATAAAGTGAAGTTCAGGGGCAGAAATCCTGCGTTAAATAGAAAATGATTCTGTATAATAATTGAAGGTTGAAAACCCTTGTCAGCTTGCATACATGTCAGACAATTTACCATCTGTGGAATAATCCCTCTGGTCTCCAAAGGTACTTATACGTGTAGTTGAGGGAGAGAGTTTGTCTAATGCATTTGCTCTGCATCAACTGTTGTTTGCTCTTTTCATGTCACCACTGGATGGATTTATTTAAGTGAAAATGAAAGGGACGTCCCTCAACAGTGCTGGCATTTGAAAATTTGTTACAACTGAGACATTGCTTGAGGGACCAAGGGGGTTTTCATCCTTTCTGTGACAAACCATATAGTGTTTCCTTCTCCTAAAAAGCCACCTGTAGCCTGCTGAATTCATAAATAAATAGAAACAAGTTAATATGAGTGAGTTGTATAAAAAAAAATTCCTGTCCTTGATATTTCAGATGGGAAATGGCCATGGAATGATATGCTGATGGCCATTGTTAGATGGTCCCTTTGAAGATAATTGTCTCCCAGAGGATGCATAACTTACTGTCTTGTCTGTCTTACTGCTTGCCAGGCTTAGTTTTCGTAGGTTGAGTTTGTCTCCAAAGATTACCAGGTAAGCAGGGCTGGGTCAGTAGCCAATATTTTTCCTCCTAAGTACACAATCAGAACATGAGCATTGTGTGGGGAGGACAACGTGTCTCTGGTGACGTTGTATAGGTAGAGTAAAAACCAAAGCTATGTTGCTAGCTTAAACTGAAGCCAAAATGTGAAGAGAGTGCTGCTACATATACACGTACCAGTTAAAGGTTGTGTTAAATGTTTTTGATTTGAAAACCTGAGTGGAACAGTAGAGTTTTATGATCTGAGTTCTGCAGAATAGTCGGATGAATTTTATTGGGCAAAACTATTTTTCCCATGAAAAATGTGTATTTGGCAACACCACAGCATGTCACAGTTTTGTCTGCTTACCTGATTTTTAAGGCAGCAGAAAAAGGTCAAATTAAATAAGTTTAAAAAAAAATATTTTTAAACAGGCCATGTTGAGGTTTTACTTTGAAATTATGATTCCAATTTCCTTCAGTTTTATTTAAAAATTGAAGTTAAAAATGTTTGAAAAGGAAACAAAACATGTAATTTAGGATCAAACTATTGCTATTGCTACTATGGCTTGCTGGGAGCTTCTGAAAACTTTCCCGCAGGTTGACCTGAAATAATTTTGATTTTTTGGGAATTGCCAATGAACCCTAAATTCAATCATTCATAAGCTCTGTCATGGACTTCAGGTCGTGGGACATTGTTCACTAAAAGGAGTTCTTCCTTGCCTCCATGCAACTGCAATACATCAGAAAAAAATCCTGCCAACATTTATCTGGGTTCCTCAGTGCCGATGGAATTGGCAGCTGTGCTAAACCTAGCAAATACATGTAATGTATAGCAAAGACTGGAGTAAGAGAATATCATTTTATATGGTCATTTTTCTGAGTAGGAGCTCGCTTGATATTTAGAAGTTGTTCTTTATCATAGTAACACCATAGATCCCATGCTCTATGCTTTAACATAGGGAGGAGTAGCCCCTGCTCAAAACAGTTTACATAAACAGAGTAGAAGGGGAAATGGAGGCGTGATGAATCGCCCAATAGTACAGTGCAGGCCAGTAGCTGAGCTGAGAATAAAACTTAGGTTTCCTGATTCTTGATCTAGTGATCTACTAACTAGGACATGCAGTTGCTTCCCACACTGCTCTTCGCTAAGCTGTCATCAGCCTTAGCAGAGATGGGAAGCCCACTAGCAATGCATTACATCAGCACAGCTTTAATATCACAGGCCACAGAGGCATATCAGGGCTTCCACCTTGTCCCTGTCTCTCTTGGCAGATTTCCACAATGAAGACTCCAAGGATGTTGATTAAATTATTATGAGATTTTATTCGGCGATGCTTGATATATTATTCAAAGTCAGATGCGCCCGGGGTTTATATATCAGAATATCTGATTCGCTTTTTCAAAGGATATGGCACTATCAGGCTGCTAGAGCCAGGAGCCAAAGAACAACCCTGTCCAATTGTATAATCACTTTGAAAGCTTAAATATTAAATGAACACATTTTTGGATGGCTGGAGAGGCTATTTCTTTATTTCATATCATTTTAGAGAACTGGGGATGGTAATGATTGTGAGTCACATTTTAGGAAGAGTGTCTTTCATGCAGAGATCCAGAAATGCTGAATAAACTTTATCAACTATGCTCTTTTCCGTGACCTAGAAATTTGAGTACAAAGTGTTCATTCCCCATCATGCTGTGTGTCCCACTTCCTGAATACCCCACTCTTTCTAATCTATTCAGTCGAGCGTATTTCTAGTGGTCTGAGGAAGGAGAGGTTGCGGGTAGGTATCAAACTTTCTGTAAAACCCAGAAGATACCTGAGCACAAATTCATGCTGAAGATAACGCTTCTAATTAACACATAGTATGGGTAGGAATCATTTTTCCTGAAGGATGCATGTGGGGGAGGAAAAGGCCTACAGAACACTGGGAAGGATCAAGTCCTCCATACTGGAGACCCCAATGTCCACAGGAAATGGAGCAGAGTTTGCCCATGAATCCTGTCTCCCCTGAAATCCACAGCTTTCCCCCAGTGGATGGAGCATTAGGCAGAAATGTGCCTTTTTGGATTTGGTGGGTTTTTTGTTCCCTCATGTCGTTAATTTTACTGCATGAGATGGGGTCTTTAAATGTTGTGTATAGGGCTCCTCACTCTGAAATGTACTAGATCCACATCACTTAGTAGAGCAACCATATCCCTTGCTGGTGATGCTCCCACTGGGGACTTACTGATCCTAGCTGAAGCCAATGAAGGCTGTTTCAATGTACTATGTATATAAGTCTCTTCATTCCAGAACTGATGTGGTACAGAATAGATGTGTTGCCCTATCCTATAGAGGAAGACACAATCCACTACTAGGATCATCTGGGCATGTTTTAGGTAACATATTTCCTACCATTGCAGAGGACCAAGGCATAGGTCATACCCTTCATATCTCTTGTTCCTCCCTACGGTACATTGAGGTTGTTCTGAGGCCTTTGGTTCTCCGTACTACAGCTCCTAAATCTGTTACAGAGATATGAGGGGAAAGCTTTCAGGATGCTTGTTGGAAGAAGAGGGAGGGCTGTTGTGGATGTTCCTGTTGGCACTTTTGGACTCAAGATTGGTAACTTAGTCGCCTGCTGTTCCAGGTAGCTGGACATGAAGATAGAAATCATGGAAAATTAGGGTTGAAAGGGGCTTCAGGAGGCCACCTAGTCTATCCCCCTGTTTAAAGCAGAACCATTTCCAACTAGATCATCCCCACTAGGGCTTTGTCTACCTGGGTCTTAAAAACCTGCAAGGATGGAGATTTCACAACTTCTCTGGGTAACCTGTTTCAGTGTTTTACTAGCCTCCTAGTGAGAGAGTTTTTTTTCCTAATATCTAACCTAAACTTCCCTTGTGGCGACTTGAGACCATTGCTCCTTGTTCTGTCATCTGCCTCCACTGAGAAGTCTAACTCTATCCACTTTGGAGCCCTGCTTCAGGTAGTCGAAGGCTGCTATCAAATCCCCCCGTCTTCTCTTCTGCAGATTAGATAAGCCTAGTTCTCTCAGCCTCTCCTCATAAGTCATGTCCCCTAGCCCCTAACCATTTTTGTTGTCCTCCACTGGACTCCCTCCAGCTTGTCCACATTGTTTCTTGGGGGGGGGTGGGGGGTGCAAAACTGGACACAGTACTCCAGATGTGGCCTCACCAGTGCTGAATAGAGGGGAATAATTACTTCTCTTGATCTGTTGGCAACACTCCTAAAAACGCAGCCCAGGATGCCATTAGCCTTCTTGGCAACAAGGGAACACTGTTGACTCATAAGTGGTACCTTCCAATCCTGTGGTCCAACATGTAGCAGCCTTTGATGGATGCACAGGAATAATATGCAGTGCACAACCTATTCAGCTTATGTGCAGAAGAAATCTAGTTGGGCCATGTGCACTTATGAAGTTGGAACCAAATTGGAGCCCTGTTGCCAACATCCTTACTCTTATGAAAAGAATGTGTGATTTTATGCATCATAAAAAGGGATCCAGGTTTTCAATTTCCCATGGAAAAAAACATGGATTTCTTATTTTAATGGAGAAACATGTGGATATTGCACTTTTGCAAAGAGCTCTCTGAAGGCTGGCAGAGTTCCAATCTGCAAGGTTTTGGGGAGAGTGGGAAGAGGACAGTCAGGCAAGGGGCACTGTGAACATGTATATGCACATGGCTGCTAGGAAGCCTGGAGAGCTACTTTTGCAGGTAAATCTGGTGTGGGAGGGGGATTGAGCCTTCATAGGGAAGGAGGGAGTTGGGCAGGGCTGAAGCTGTTGCTCAGCTGGGCCGTGCGTGGGGTCCAGGGCTGGAACATGCGACCACAGGGCCCCAGCTTGGAACAGGACAGGGCCATGAGTGGCTCATCCAGGGGATGGGTGATGGGGAGGGCTGGCTCTCCACTGCTCTGTACACTCCTGGGGGGGCAGGGAGAAGCTGTGCCCCACAGAGCTGTGCACAGGACGAGGGCACATGCGGGTTTGGGCTGCCCGAGGCAGACTCGGGCTCCCTGCCCCAGGCCCTCTGCAGCCCAGCAGGCGGGACCCGGTTTGGAAGGGAGGGCTTTGTGGGAAAGCTCTTTGCCACTGCGAGCCCTGCATTGCCCTGGTGAGGTTTCCCCTGTAGAGGTGGTGGCACAGGGTTCTGCCTCTTGGTGTTGTGCGGCAGGTAGCGAGTGCATTGCCAGGGCAGTGTGGGGCTTGCAATGGCAAGGAGCTTCTCTGCCTGGCCCCATTCTGTCTTGCTTTGCCGGGTCCTCCCTGCCAGGCCACAGAGGTCCCAGGGGGTGGGCAGCAGGTCTGGGAGCCTGAGCCCACAGCGGGCAGCCTGCTCCCACCCATACCCCACACATGGATCTGGGGGGCACAGGGACCCCCTGTATCCCCCGAGAGTGCGCACATCAGCGGGGAGCTGGCCCCTCCCTGCCCAAGCCTGTAGCTGGCAACCTGCACCTCACCATGCCCCCCCACAGGCTCTGCTCCAGCTGTGCTGCTTGTGGGAGATGGGGAGCCAGGCTCCATGCTTTGGTACACTGCAGTAGCCACTGCCTCCCCTGGTTGGCAGCCAGGAATTGGTCACTGGCTGTGGACCTGGGTCCCAGGCCCTATAGCCCTGGCAGCTGGAGGCCCCCTCTGGCAAGTCTGGGGGAAAGGAGACTGTGGGTACATCAGCAGAGCTGGGGGGGCCTGTGGGTGGGGAGTGAAGTACACCAGCAGGGCTGGGGGGTGGTGGTGGGGGGTGAAGCAAGAGTGAGGGGCACCAGCAGGACCAGGGGGCAGTGGCTTGGAAGTGAGGGGCCTGAACCTCTGTTCTGTGACCTAAAGGGGCAAGGGGAGCTCAGATTTTTTCATAATAAACTTCAAATCAAAGATCAAGATTTATAGGTACTTAGAATTTATTTTATTATAGTGATTGAGGAGCTGGTAGGTTTCCAAATTGATTTAGAATTGTAACTATACCAATAAAATATTTTGTTCAGATAACACCTATGTATATAGAGGCATTTCAATTTAATTACAGATTTTGAATTTTTTATCAGAGAATTTGTGGGGTTTTTAAATCAGAGAATTTGCAATTTTTTTATCAGAGAAAACCAGGATCCATAATCATAAGCAACCAGGGTTTTAGGTCTCTTCTCATCTCATGTTAAAGGGGGCTTCTGGCACAATGCTGCATCATTGATTTAGTGATGACTGTGAAGTGCATTAAGTACCACTTCTGGCCCTCAGCTCCTTCCTAGGTGATTGCCCATCTAAGTACAGCCTAGAACTACTGAGTTCGGTAGAGCCAAAGAAAACAAAGCTTGTGATGGAGTAGCTGAAGTCTACACATCCTGTATTTTCAGAGTCCTGCATTCAGTTCTGACTTCTTAATTTCCAAAGAGCACTAGTGCTGGTACTGAAACCACTCACTGCCTTGAAGGGTACCCAAAGGATTTTGTTTGCAGTTCACTGGTATGAGAAGAAGGTCTAGAACTCCTCTGTCTATACTCAGATACCACGGTGCCAGATGCCACAGTGTAGTAAACTAAGCAGAGCATAAAGAAACCTATTAAGATCCCACTTTCCTTTCTTGCAATGTGACTACTGTGATGTGGCTTTTGCTATTGACTATAGTGGAATCAGAATTTCAGTCACTTCCTTGGTTCCCACTGATGTAATGGAGGATCAGATATGAGCTATTAAGCAGTACTTGGACACAAGAGGAGGATTTTTACTCTGGGGGGCAGAAGGATACTTTTGGTTCTGGTTCAACTTAGTATGATGGAAGCACTTATATCACTTAGGCCCCTTCTACATGTTACATATATTATGTGATTACTGGGTTAACTGCACAATTAATTTAGACCGGCTACACATGCAAATTTAACTATTACACCATTAAAAGTTCCATCCAACTATAAAGTTAGAGCTGGAAAATGTATACTAACTTTATAGTTGGTTCCAATCCAGCTTTAAGTTGCACGTATAGCATCGCTATAAGGTGGCACTTTTTGATACCCCCTGTGCAAAAAATTTGATTCCTACCTGAAGTTGGAGGACATAATTTGAAAACATTAGAGAGAACTTGTGAATAGTTCTTTTCATTATAGTACATATAAAAATCTCTTTATCCTAGGGTTGATGTAACACTACTGTGTTGCAAGCTTAAACAGTTCTCCAAATCAATTCACATTCTGTTTGCAAGCAGGAATTTACAGCATTATTGGCTGAAAAAAGACAGTAGTGCTGATAAATGGTGACTCAGAAATCCTTACTGCATGCTTAATACCATGTGAATTTGGAGAACTTTCTGTAGGAAGCAGATTTGGTTCTAATGTGATATGACATTCTTGCAGTGTGTCACAGACATAAAGATTTTCTTGGAACCCGGACCTATAATTATATCAGTAGCAACTGTTGTCCTATTTCAAGGGTGTATAAAATTGATACAAAAATAAATTGTATATGAGACAAGTGGAGTAGTCCAGGTGTTCCTGGCAAGCTGTGTAACAAGA